GGAAAGCAGCTCTGCAGAGAAGGACGTGGGAGTTGTGGTGGACAAGTTGATCGTGAGCCAGCAATGTGCCCCTGTGGCCAAGAAGGCCAATGGTCTCCTGGGCTGCGTTAGGAAGAGTGTTGCCAGCAGGTGGAGGGAGGTGATCCTGCCCCTCTCCTCAGCCCTGGGGAGGCCACATCTGGAGCGCGGTGTCCACTTCTGGGCTCCCCGGGACAAGAGAGACATGGCACTACTGGAGCATCTCTCCTCTGAAGAGAGGCTGCGAGAGCTGGGCCTGTTCAGTCTGGAGAAGAGAAGACTGAGAGGCGAGCTCATCAATGTGTACAAGTATCTGAAGGGAGGGTGTCGAGAGGATGGGGCCAGACTCTTCTCACTGGTGCCCAAGCAACAGGACAAGAGGCAACGGGCACAAACTGAAACCCAGGAAGTTCCATCTGAACGTGAGGAAAAACTTCTTGATTGTAAGGGTGACCGAGCATTGGACCAGGTTGCCCAGAGAGGTAGTGGAGTCTCCTTCGCTGGAGATATTCAAAACCCATCTGGATGTGATCCTGGGCAATATGCTGTAGAGGACGCTGCATGAGCAGGGAGGTTGGACTAGATGACCTCCAGAGGTCCCTTCCAACCTAAACCATTCTGTGATTCTGCGATTCTGTGATTACCAAAGACTGTAAATTGGTTGAAAATATTTAGAGTCAGACTACTAAAAACATAGATGCCCTTGCATATGTTTGTGTGCGCTTGTATATGAAATCATGTGTATGTTTTACTTTAAGAATATAAGGAATGAACACTTCTCCAATAAATAATACTGCTTTGTACAAAGTCCTTCAAGATTTCTAATGTCTGCTAAGGAGGTCATAAAAGGTTTATAAAAGTCTGAAGATTCAACTTGCTTTATTGGGATCCTTTTATGAAGTGCTTAGAGTACATGGATCTCTATTATTCCTTTTCTGTTGGTGCTGTTCCACAGTTATCCAGTATTCCACAGGAAGTATTTAGTGCTCCTTGGGTGAGCGTTTCTTTATATAATAAAGTGCAATGTGGGTATGAACATATTTATATGGGGTCCATGGCTTATTGGCTCTGCTTGCTAGTAAAAATATGATTTTGATTACTCTTAAAATTCTTGATTCAACCTACTTTCAGAAAGTTGAGAGATACTGCTTTTTGATGTATACATGCTATACTGCGCATTTTAGCTCAGTTGAGATCCAAGGTACAGGAAGGTGGAATTGCATCAGAAGAGAGACTTTTGAAGCAAGCCTTGATTGCAATAGGAAATGTAACTTAAGGAATATCAATAACAGAAGGATAACACAAACCTAGTTCAGGTTTTGGGCAACCAATTTCTAAGTGGTTCATAATGATGGTTTAGGATACAGAATAGAAATGCTGAAAGTGTAAAGGAAATATTATGAATCCTCGAAAAAATCAGAGTAATGTTTGTCTAACAGGTAGACTTCAAATGACCTCAAAGAATTCTGTGCCATGTTGGTTAATGTCCAGTAATAGAATTTCATTACTTTGCAAGCAAATGTGGAGCCCGAGGCAGCTTGGTTAGATATACTAATAAGAATATTTCTATCCTCTAGCAGATCTTCCTGCACACCTATCTTTTTTTTTTTTTTTTTTTGCATTGGTGACTATATGATATCCCACTGACTTATAAATCTCATCTAAAAGCAATTAATTCTTGCACAAAATGTGTTTTTCTTACTCAGTTCACCATCATTCGGCTATATCTGTGTGCAATTCTAGATGCACTTTTTTTAACTGGAGAGGGAAAAAAAAGAAGCTACAAAGTGAAAAGTGCAGCTTTCTTAAAATTCTTCTTAATGGACCGTGAAGGGTGTGTAAATCTGTTTCGATTCGATTAGGGCAATGGACAGAACATTGACAATATCTTGATTACTGGTAATACCAAGAGAGGAGGGGAAACACTGAAGTCATGTCAGGGCAGAAGACTTTCAGAAAGCATTCACCTTGGTTCCTTTGTACCTCAGTTCCTAAGTTAATTGCATCTATGCATCCTCAGGGGCACTGACCAGCAGCCAGGCTCAGAGCCACCTCCTTTTTTTGGGAATACAGTTCTGCAATTGCCTGCCTTTAGGTCTGCATCCTAAGTTGCACATTCCTATAGTTTACTACGACTACATCAGGCCTGGCCTCTGGGTAATTCTGCTCTTAGGGAAAAAGATGACACTTTTAAACAGTGATCAATCCGCTTTCATGAATGCAGTTTCCTATGCTGAGGGAATAATAAGGTATCCTATTGTATGCATGCCCACCTCACTAAGGACAAACTTATCTCTAAGTACAAGCATCTGAAAAGCAGTTGATGTCCTCAGCAAAGCCTCTCTCTCTCAGAAAAATACCTCGATAACTTCTGGCTTTACGACTGGAGGAGTTCTCTCCTTATCTTTGGCTTGGGACTGGTATTTCCAAGAAGTTTCTAGCCTTTGCCTGTTAAGATTTTTGACAAGATGGATCCTTTTCAAAGAGGATATTTTTCCACAGGAGATAAGACTTTGAAAGACTTGCTAATTGCGTTGTTTCAACATTAGAGTTTTTCATTAATTATTCTCCCTGTTCTCCATGATTTTAGCTCTAATGCCCATGCAGCAAAGAACATGTCTCTGACATATTTGTCATGGTTGTACAGGATTGTGATTGCTTCCAAAACCAGAATCAGTGTGCTCATGTTAAATAATGCATTCTTGCAAAATTTATACTAAAGGATAGAGCCAAAATCTCCCTGCCTGTTAGCAGAAAAAGTCAGATTTCACGTCTTCTGGGTCAAGTGATGCTATATTTCACAGCGTTAATATTCTGCCCAGAAATGTTTTTATTGGCAGGGAATTTGGGGGAGGGGAGGAGTCTTTTATAGTGCTTAAAAATTAAATTATATGAAGAAAATTACCTCAGATTAATAGGAGAGTCCTTTAATACGCTGGTTGTGATATCTAGACTCGACATCCAGTAATGAAGAGATCATAACAGTGCTGAATATCAAATCTGAGTGATTCTGACAATCCGCTTTTTCTTCTGTTTCTGGGAAGAGAAGGAAAGAAAGCATGTATGTTAGTACTCCCTAAAATAGTCAGGACAGCAAAGAAATTTGTAAATTTCTCAGAAAAGAGTATATATTTTTTACTCTTGTTGAATAAACAAACTACATAAAGTTTATATTGTTTTCCTATTTTAATATTTTTTGAGTAATCAGAAGTTACTACATTAAACAAATACAAGACAGCACAGGAATATCGTGTTTAAAACTGTGTTGCTCAGGTTACAAAGACACCATGAAGGGCTCACATTTTGTTTTAGTTTTTATTCTGAGTAATACTGTCTGTATGCCCACATTATGTTTGCGTGTAGCCCTATAGTTCACAGTAAGCTGTGAGTTATTTTCTCTTTGGACTACTTTGTGTATTACAAAGGATCACTACTTACTTCCATTACTGCAAGCTGAATATTCTCTCATCAACAGCAGTTAGTTTCAAGCTAAGAAATTATTCAAAGATTTGGACAAGTGAAAGCTGAAAAGATGAGAATGAAAATCAAAATATTACACCGTACAGTGTAAACTCCTCAGTTTATCATAAAATATCTGGACACAACAAATTGCATCAACCAAAGCCTAAAACTGAAGTAGGTTTTTTTTTTCTTTCTCATAAACGAATAACAGTTGACAGTTCTGGAATGTGCACTTCTCTCCCATGAAAACATTTTTCCACTCTGCCTTTTCCAAAAATCAAAAGTTCAAAGCTAAACTATTACACGTTATAAAAGAGCAAATTTACCATGACACTTAAACAAAGACATGAGTCAGTGTATTCAGCTTTCTTCAGGGAAGAAGGAGTTATGTTCCTTGCTAAGGCAAGGTTTCAAGTAAAGAAATTATTTTTGTAGTTTTATATATCTCCTTATGAGATAATTATTTACCTATGCAGAAGTCCTATTTTGTTATACAATCAAAGTTGTAATACATGCCATTTTTGTCACTGATATATCAATTAAGCTTTACCACATTCCTCCACAGTAAGCAAAATATTAACATCCTCGTTATACAAATGGGCAAATGCAATGGCAAACATTAAGATACTTGGTTCAATATTATTCAGCATATCTGTAGCAGGACTGGGAACCTCAGTTGCTCTTGCTTTACTCTAAAGAGTGCTACCTTTGTTCTTGAGAATGGCACAAGCAAGATGAGTAGTATGTAAGTAGAGAGAGAAAATGAGAGACGGTTTTCAACTGCTGTGGGTAAAATAACTTTTATCCAGAGTAAAAAGCATATGACTTTGTGTTGTCTCAAATGTGAGGTGTATAACACGATACATTAAGCAGCTGAATTGCTCTGTGCAGTTTTTAAAACTGACCAGGAAATTTGGAACACCATTTGCTTTTATTTGGAACGAGTGGCTGATTCGTTCTTCTGCCTTGAAAAGCCTCTACCTCTGTTTCTGATTTAAAATAAGGTGGGTACCCTGTTGTACAATGGGAGAGAAGTGTAAAAAGCCACAGAGATCATGTTAATGTCGGGCATTGCCATCCCCAGACGAGGGGTTAATTTGGAATACATTAAGGGACGCAAACTTCTGCTTGGTACTGTGGTAGCTTTAGTGTATTCAGTTCTTTTAAGCAAATTGATACTGCAAAGTCTTGTGATTCAGGTCTGAGACAGATACAAACTTTAGGGGTAGTAAGATCTAGATTCAGACCCTTGACACAGAACCTTTCGTTCAGTAAGGTGGAATCAAAATCAGAAAATCCTTGAGCTTGGAGAAAGCTGACATCTGAATCCATATGCAGCAGTCCAAGCCCACCACAAGGATTCATTTTTCGCTAATTAATGTGTAAAGATTTATTAGGTCATTCCCTAGGAAGGACGGTGTATACTTACTATAGAGAAGATATGCTCATATTGTGAGGGATATCTGAATTTTTGTTTGTTCAGTTTCTATTTCTGAACAATATAGCTGTGACATGAGGCTTCATTATAATTTCTGTAGTTGCCCCCGTTTTCTGTTGTTTTTTCAAGATGACATGTGAAAGGACCTTACATGACAATTACCCATAGTTATAAGTTCTATTCAGCCTTTTAGAAATCCCATTATATTTCACAGGCGAGCACAAAGAGGGTATAACGTAGCAGAACTGAAGGTTCATTACCTTTAACTTTTAAAATGGAGAGGTTTGGATTTTTCACTGTTGTTGTTTTAAAGGTCTTTAACCGAGTAAGCCATTGGTTATGAATGTGATTGTAGAAAACAGACAGTTTGTGGAAAATGCATCGCTGGTAAGGGACAAGGTGCCTACTTTCAGTAGGCTGCACAAACAACTTTGTCAGGTGCAGGCAAATCATATTGGTGGTAATGGCTAGCAGCATCAGGCAACTAAAGAGGCGAGCCTGCCTTAAATCACCCGCTGGGTAGATGAACCATGTTTTGATAACCCCTGGAATAAAGACAGGATAAAATGCTCCTCGATAGACAAGTAACTCATTTTACTTTGTCATGCACTGAATTATAAAAATTACTAAAATGGCCACACAGGAATATATACGTCATTTAAATCAGGGAGCAATCAGGTAGCAGGGCCTTGGTAGAAAGAAGGCAGCTGATTAACAGGCAAGTGGCAGGTATATTTGCTGGCTTGGTGCAAATAAGGATGAGAAGGGGATTCCTTCTCCCTTCCTGGGGAGCCAAGCATAGTCCTCACCTGTGTTTCACCTCGGTTTCAATACACAAGCAACACTGGCAGTAATAGCATGAATCTTCTCAAACAGTCAGGATCATGGGCTCATCCAAACCTTACACCGCAGTATTGCACAGGGCAAATATGTATTCCTCTGGTCTGTGCTTCTACCTCCCACGTTATACAATTGAGCAGGAAAGAGATGCTCCTCAGAGGTTAGGAAAACTGTGTGATTTACAACACTAGTGGTAGGTGGAACAGGAGAGACTGTGGGACCAAGAGAGCCAAGTATTTTAAGCATCTGTTATAGGCCTGTGCCAGACGCAGGATACCAGACAAGATGTGCCATTTGTCTGTTCTTGAATGGAATTTCCTATGTCCTTAATACCAAGCAAACTCTGTTTATTTATAATATAACTACTTCTGGTTTTGTAGAGATGATATACAGCACATTTCATCTTCTTTTCACTCTCACAATGATATTTAAGCACTTAAAAAGTAATTTATTTAGCTGTGTAAATTCAGTCAGGCTTGGCAGGTGTTTTGCTTTGTCATGGGTACATCTGTAAAGGCTAGAAAACTAGTCTCTGTTTAGGGAGGCTGAAATGTGTAGTTTACAGAAGTATATTTTTTTCTAAAGCTTATCCGGGTTAAGAACTACACCCAAGTTCTTTTAAGATCAGGGCCAGTAAGCACTGATTTTGAGTGGCCATTCTGATGGCCACGTAAAGAAGCAGGACTTGGAAAACGCTGATTGTCCTCCCCTGAATGTCTGTCCCATTTAAGGTATTTCCCAAAGAAATAAGCAGGAATTTTCTGGCAATTTTTTTTTCAGAATAGGTCGATTCAAAACTATAGCTCTTTCATGGAAACACATGTATTAGTTGTAATAGGAAACATCTCTTGTTTCCAGACAAGATTAGAGAGAAACATTAACCACCTCACAGGAACAATATCTCATATTCTTTACCTGGGAGTTGGGTATTCCAGGTTTAAGTCTCTGTGCTGCCATGTTGATACCAAAGACATGAGCCCTTAGATCAAGTAGGAGCGTTGGTATTAATGTGTCTAGGACTGGAAGGAATATTCAATAGCCCCACAGTAGAAGTCCTTGACTCCACTATAAGCCAATTGTGCCAGGGTCATGCCCCTGCACATAACCTTTATTAACACCGGCACCCTTCCTGCTAGTGGTGCAGTGCCCGTCTGCTCTGCTTCAGAGGCATGCAAGGCTGCTAAACCTGAAACCTTTTCCCTAGGCTCCTTCTGATGCCTCTGCTCCAGGGTCACAGTCCCCTGGCCCCAATCACCTTGCTGCTCACAAAACTGAGACCTTTTTTGGATTGTTGCATTTCTGAGTTTGGAGAGGATGATAGCTAAAGATGGACCTCTTGACCTGGGCCCTCAGTGGACACGGCTTTTTTCACAAACAGCTTAGAAATACTTTGGCTTCTTGCACAGACAGGACAAGAGCCTCAGAAACAAACAAACAAAACTCCAACATCTGCAAGAAGAAAAAAGTGACAAGTTCTGTTTCAAACTGGTGACCAAAACCAAAGGCCCACAAAATTACTCATCATAATCCAAGTTCCTCCAGTGAGATCCCTAGAACCTTCTAGGTCACAAAGTACATTAAAACATGTACAATTAACTGTCTTCATAAACAGGCTGCATGAGCTCATCCCTTTCTGCCTCAGCTTTTCTTTCTGTAAAGCTGAGGCTGTAAAACTTGCCTGTGGTACTGCTCTAAGTCCAGCTTCTGACTATAGTTGTTATCACAATAATTACTGCAACAGATGTCAGAATCAAGCAGAAAGCACCATCATTTAACAACTTAAGTGCAGACCACAGCAATCGCTTTCTGTGCTTTATTGCAAGTATATACCCCCCAGAACAGAGAACAAATGTTCACACTTGCTTCTAGGTGTAGACCTGTTTTAGGACAATGTCTTTATATTTTTCTCCATCAAATGTTTTTCCAGTACACTTAGCTGTTTTTAGCTGTAACTAGAAAAGATACAGCTGCATTTTTTGGCTTATATAGTATGAGCTCAACCCTCAGCAACAGCTTAGTCAGAGTTGTTTTATAGAACTATTTCTCTGTAAGCATTTTCATTCAATAGTTGTCATGTGATACCTGTGCTTTCTAAAAACATACTGAGGACCTCGTATCTTATCTTCCTAATATCAATCTGGTTAGATACCTACTTGGGAGGTGCTCTGAAAGGTGGGGACAGAGACAAGACAGAGAGCACTTACTGAAAGGTAGTCTCAGAGATGGAGTCAGTCTGTGATATGATACAGTCCAACAAGTTGTTGCTGAGCAAGAGAGAGCAACACCTTGAACGGCA